AGCTGTTCAATGTAGTTGCAGTGAGCTCTGATGGGTGTCTCTGAGGTCTGCCAGTCCCTACTACCGTGCAGCTGCTCCCTGGGAGACAGGAGCAGGGAGGACTAAAGGACCTTGCACGGAAATGCAGGTATTGCCCAGACCTTGACCGGTCTCAAACGCACAACGTTGCCGATGGTGACACGCGCCCCGTGCCGCAGTGCCAGGCGGCCTGTGAACACCTCAGCGCAGCCCAGCGGATAATCCCCCATGGAGCATGGAAATCCTGGCAGGCTCCAAACCACTTTCCCCCTCTCCACGGGGGCACTGGGATCCACAAGGCCAGTCTTGATCCAGAGCCTCTTCCCTGGGCGGGAGGGACCTGCGGTGCTCCCCGTAGGTGCTGTAGGTTAGCGCTGGGGGGAGATGCATGTTCTGTCCTTGGGTTACTAAAAATAACACCTGGGGTTATCAAAAACAGGGAGTTTTTAGTTCTCGCTTCCTCTTTTGCTCCTGCAATTTGTTTACCCGCTGCCTCTCACTGAAACTGTGAGTCAGTCGGTTTCGTTTTCTGGCTCGCGGGCGCCGCGCAGGCTCCTCCAAAAGGTGGGATTTGTTTGCCGCCAAATAAACCTGCTCCTGCAAAACAAAACCCGATCCCCTGAATACACAGCGGCGTCCTTGTCGCTTCCCGTCACCTTTATTTACCCAGCCCCAACTCTGGGTAACCTGCCTCTCCCTCCTGCAGCCGCGCGGGCTGGGCCCTTGTCCCTGAAGTCCTGCATGGACGTGGCCATTCCAGGAACCCTCCGCTGTGCCCATCTCTGCATAGTTTGGTACCTGCAGGGTTTCGTGGGCAGTGTTGCCAGGACAGCTGGGTCCGTTCCCTGGGATGCAGCTTGGGCAGGAGCATCTTGAGCTGGAGATGCCGACTGCAGCAGCAGGACTGGAGCCTACGGGCGGATATCCCGGGACACTGGGAAAGGGGCTTCAGTTGGGCCTGCTGAAATAAGCTGCCCTGCTGCTGGACAGCAGTGCAGGTACGGATGTGCAGATGCCTTCATGCTGGGGAGCGATTTCTGCACAGAGTGTTTCTGCAGCGGTCGCTGTTTCCGTACCGAAACGGTTTCTGCGCGAGGTCTGAGCGTCTGCGAAGCGTGAGGTCTCCACCCGGCACGCGGGGAGCCCTGTCGGCAGGGCAGGGCTCCCACACGTCCCTGCTATTTCTGTGCTCCTGGACTTCTGCATCACGGACGGGGAAGCGGGAAGAGGCGCGTTGCTTTCACGGCCGGCGGGCTGCTTACCGCCCGCTGCGCGGTGACGGAGCCGGGCTGCTCCAGGGCCCGCGGCATCGTGACCTGTAGCCAAAGGCGTCGCGTGGCAGCCCGGGTGCTTTCCCCAGGAACCACGCGGGAAGGTGGCCCTGCCGCCGGCGCCGCCGCGCGCCTCCTTCCCAGACGGGCACAGCGCTGCCCGCGCCGGGCGCCGCTTCCTTATGACTCACTCCCGGCCCGTGCGCGGAGCCGGGTCGTTCTTTGTGCGCCCTCACGTCACTCCGCAGCCCGGCTCAGCCCCTGCCTCCGTTGCTGCACCCTGTTGCTTCCCCAGGGATTTGTTACCGCATCGCCTGGTTTTGTGCTTGCAAGGGACCGGGTGGAGAATTGCCTCTCTGGAGCTCACAGGTTACGAGTTATTTCCAAATAACTTTCTGTGCCAGCCACAGGCCACGCAGAAGTCACAGACCCAGCGCTGTCACTGCTGCTGCCAGGCTGGTGGCTGTATGTGACACCACCAAGATACCTCTAGTGACCTGGGTATCTTCTCCTTGCCACATCACTGCTGATGCCTTGCAAAAATTCCCTGTGGGGCTCGCAGGGGCAAGACCATGGGAGATATTTGAAAAGAACACCAGATATTTAGGAAATAGGAAACAACTGCACTTAGTTTGCTGGGGAATGAAGGGCTGTGCAGAGCTTAACTTTACCTTTAGTCTGTTTAGATCTGTGGTTTCTGAAAACGTTTGTGCCGAGGTGTTCCCTTACCGAGAGCATTTGAACATCTGCTTTGTTTTATGGCAGTCCTAGGACTGTGTCTTGCCTAAAAGGGATCCAAAATGTGGCCTTCACCCCTGAAAACCAATAATAGCTCTCACAAAGCTCCGTTTTAAGCCAATGTGTAGCGGGTTCTGTTTGTTTTACCTTCTCTGTTCAAAACCTCAGTGCTCTGATCCTCAAGCATCGCTCTGCCACTGCAACAGGGGAAATGCTGGTTGTCCCAGCTGCACTTCCCACATGTCCTGGTGACTTCCGAAACGCCACCAGGCCGTGCAGGCCCCTGGCTCCGGAGGGAGGGATGCTGCTCTCCCTGGGGACGGTGGGACGGGAGGCCCGGGAGCAGAGGGCCGGTGTTAGCGCCGGGGCCGGGAGCGCAGGGCCGGCTCCGTTGGAGCGGGGAGCGCTGCGGATCCGGGCTGCTCACCGCTCTGTGCGTCGCAGAGGACCAGGTGGTGGAGCAGACCGAGGAGGTGTTCCGGAGCTACGCCTTCTACCGCTACCAGCAGGAGCGAGAGGAGCGAGGGGAGGAGGCGCCCACGGACCCCGAGATCGCGGAGATTCAGCGGGAGCCGGACAGGTAAAAGCCTCGCGGCGACTGTGCTGCGCATCCCTAACCCCGTCCCGAGCCGGCTCGTCACGGCGCCGGCGCCGCGTCCCGCTGAGCAGCCCCGCTCTCCTGCCCCGGCAGCATGGGCACGCAGGTGGGACGGCGCCTGGCCATCATCGGCGACGACATCTACAAGCGTTACGACGCGGAGTTTCGCTGCATGCTGGAATCCTTGCAGCCCAACAAGGAGAACATCTACAATTACTTCACCAGGATAGCCTCCAGGTAAGGCTGCCCGCTCCCTGCTGCATGGACACCTTCTCCTGCAGGGAGCCAGGAGGAGAGGTGGGACCGTGGGCAGGGTGCAGCAAAACGCCCAGCTAGGCTGTGTAGAACCTGGCCCAAAGCAGCCACCCTCCAAGCTCTGCCCCAGCACCCAGACTCTGACACTCAATTCAAGCTTCATCACCTGCCCTTCGGTCAAGCCTCAAATAAGTTCACCACTTTCCTGCCTGTCTGCTCTTGCTCCTGCTGCTGCACACTGTTTGGACAGTCTTCACGTGGAAATGCCTTGGCTGCCCAGCAGCAGTCCTTGTACGAGCTCATTGGGGTCAGAACGTTTGGGGGAAAATGGTGGAGCTCTGTCCTGGGCAGGTCCCCGCTGGCTTCATGGAAGTTGCTGTGGCATGTCCAGCTGTGCTCCATGGGGTTTAATTCTCACCTCTCTCTGCCTCTTGTCCATAGGCCTCTTTGCAGTTTGTGTGAGGCACTAACTGAGCACGGCCTGGTTTGCCCGGGGCCATGCAGGAAACCTCTGGCAGTGCTAGGAGAGAAAGGAGGGTCCCCGGGTTCGCAGCGCGGACCCCGGCCTCGAGCCCCGCCGCTCAGCGGAGGCGTCCCCCCGCGCTCGCGTGCGTTGTCTAACCGCTCTCTCCTGTCCTTCTGCTGCTCCCCTGTCCTTGGGAAGCCCTGCTGCGCTGTTTTCACCGCTTTGCCACCCCGAGGCGGTTAACGCACCGCAAACAGGTAAATTAACCTCTGTCCCTCTCTTCGTGCCACCTGTTTCGTTGTTTCTCCTTCCCTGGTTTCTAACTTCCCTCTCCCTGCCCGACACACACGGCGGAGACGGCAACGCGCAGGGACTCCGAGGAGAGGACGTGCCTTGCTACAGGAACAGCCGGGATAGGGCAGCACATTAAAACCTAGGGGCTGAGTCTTTTGCTCTTTTTTTCTTTTTTCCTATTCTTACTTGCCTTACTGGAAAACAGCGGGGGGAAAAAGACTTCCGAAATTTGTCTAGCTAAATCTGTGCAGGGCCTGCACCAAGTGATGCAGTTTGTGCCCACGGCACCCGGAACGTGGATCCAGAGCAATAGGAACCAGGCACATCTGGGACCCGCCCTGGTCCACGGACGTGGCAGTCCAAAGCAAGATCAGGTTTTGGCTCTGGAGGACTTGATCTCTGTTGGAAAAGGGAAAATCCTGTTCCTACATATGTGGGCCCTGTATATGGAAAAGCAGGATGGATGGGATGTGGCAGGACCACAAAAGCCACCCCAAGGCTTCCACTCTATAGTTATTTGGAGTTGGTAGCTGCACAGACAGGATTTGGAGGTTTCCTTTTCCCTGGGACAGCCCTAGCCCTCCTCAGCGAGGCAGACGGGTTGCGATGGAGTCTCTGCTTGTCCTGCTCTGCAAGCACAGCCTGGTTGGTTATTTATGGCCATTAGTTGTGGGCAGGGTGCAGCAAAACGCCCAGCGAGGCTGTGTAAAACCTGGTCCAAAGCAGCCACCCTCCGAGCTCTGCCCCAGCACCCAGACCCTGACACTCAGTTCAAGCTTCATCGCCTGCCCTTCGGTCAAGCCTCAAAAAAGCCACAAAAATGCTGCTTCCTCGGTGCACCAAGGTGCACGCGGGCCCAGCACGGCACCCCCTGTGCCACAGGCAGCCCCGGGGCCACCCCGGATGGCCAAGGGGACACGGGGCGGCTGCGCTGGGGTCTCCTCCGGCCGCGCCGCTCAGCGCCGTCGCCTTCGTTGCAGCCTGTTCGAGAGCGGCATTAACTGGGGCCGGGTGATCGCGCTGCTGGGCTTCGGGTACCGCATGGCCATCCACGTGTACCAGCACGGCATACCCGGCTTCCTGCGCTGGATCGCCCGCTACGTGGCCGAGTTCATGCTGCGCAACCACATCGCCCAGTGGATCGCCCAGCAGGGAGGATGGGTGAGCGCGGGGACACGGGCTGTCCCGGGGGCCACCGGGGCCGCGGGGCGACAAGGGCAGGCTGGGGGCTACGGAAACCCTGGGGGCGGTGGGATTGCACTGAGGGAGCCGAGCGGAAAGCTGGCCCAGGCAGAGCTCAGGGGCGTTTGATGGATCTTCTGGTAACTCTCTGTTTCCTGCCAGGTGGCTGCACTCGATCTGGATAATGTTTACGTGAAGTATATGATGGTGGTGCTGGCCCTGGTCTTGGTGGGGCATTTAGTGGTACGACGCTTCTTCAGGTCCTGACTGACGCGGGGACACAGGCTGGGGGGTCCGGCTAAGCGCTCTCTCAAATCTCTGCTCTGCAATAACGACGTCTCCCAAGAGGGGAGGATTCCAAGAACCTCAGAGAGAGGGAGCAGCTTGGACCTATGACCCTTCCACCGCAGGGCCCAGGGTCTCTGTCATTCATGGAGGCACCACCAGGAGCTACGGAGAGGTTTGACTTTGTCATCTGTTTCGTGCCTCGCTTAGCTACCGAGGAAGAGCATCACTCATAGCACGTAGCGCTGGGACAGGAGAACAGCGTCCTCGGACGTAGGGACTGGAGGAACGAGGGGGTTGTGGTGACGCCTCTGCGAGTGTCTCTGTGCGCGTGTCTGCTCCGCTCTGTGCTGCTCCCCACAGCGTTCCGGGGGGCAGGAGCAGAGCGGGCGCCTTTGCTCATGACTCTGTCCCCAACTGCCTGCATCTGAGGGGGGTCTGCAGCCTTCGTCGCTGCACTGGTTTGTAAGTCAGCAAAGGGCAAGCCATCATTAAAAACCTCTGGGTGGTTTGCCGTCACCTTCCCTCTGCTCCTGAGCCCGAATATT